ATGGTTAATATCCTGCTTTTAAAGGCCAAAACAAAGGTTATATAGTGTGTCGCCTAGTAATACTTTGTAGGGGGAGGCACGTCTATGCCCGCAGTGGTGAAAGAGTTAAAGTATTCATAATGTTTTAACACTTGATTCATAAAGAGGAACCACCCACTTGGGAACTGTAGAAGTCTTCCTTTTAAGCACGTCGACCTGCTGTGAATAAAACATAACATTATAAATCGTTTATTCGTATAAGCCCTCAACGTGATGAAAATAGCATTCGTTAGCCAATTCTAAGTAAGTTAACTGGAATACCATGCTGATAATAAAGTTAGAAATAAAAACGACCTTTAACCTCCACATAATTATAAGAGAACTTTTGTTTTAACCGACGTTTCGCCTTTGCGGCTTCTTCGGTGTTAGTACATAAAACAGTTTCATACATAGCTCTGAAGAAGCCGCAAAGGCGAAATGTCGTTAAAAATGAAAACTTCCTTATAATTATTTGAAGTGTACGGTCGTTGTTTTCTTCTTCTTCCCTTTTTTTTTTGAGGGGGGGGGGGGTTCTAACTTTATTATCAAAGTGTGGAAATCTCCCCAGTATGCACTACAAATTCTGAAATACCATGTTACAAAGGTTAGGAATGCAAAAGTCTTTTATTTAAATCACTACTCCACTGGGAATCTATAATATTTTAGAAATACCTTGACACCTTAGCTTTTGAAGAAATAAAACTCCACACACATTAATTTAATATTCCATTAAATCTATGTAGCACAAAGTTCTATAATTGTGGATTTAATCCTCAAGAACTTGCCAGAACTTACTTCACTCTCGCATTGTTACGAAACGCCTTCTCTTGTGTTCGAATATATTACTCGTTCGATGACCTTATGATGACAAAACCTTATCGAAACATTGTAAATTTGCTGTTATGTTAAACTTTTTCTTCATTACCCGTCAAGCCGTCTCCAACCAATATTACTCGTTATCATCAGCGCGGAAATCTCGTTCAGTTCGATAAACAACGGGAATATCATAAATTCCTAACCATGATATAAGTTAATTGGTTTCTCAAGGATGAGTTGTGTGTTCGTATGTACCCTTTTCTATACATGACAACTTTCTTAGTTGACATACTTTCTTCCGTATAGACTTTTAATATCATTCTCAACATTATCGTCTGACATTCCACTAAGTTGAATAAAACCTAAAAAATTATGCACGATTTACAAACTGAAATAACAAAATAGAAAATGTTTAGAATATAGGGAAGGGCAGACTTTGGTAAACAGCATATAAAAATACAATTTAGTTTAACAGTATGTATATCGTTTCCTTCTCGTGAAACTTACTTGAAAGTGTATTGGTCGAAATTGTAATGATTTTTATTTTATTTTTTCGTTAGTAGTCTCTGATGTAAGGTGTATATAAAGAGCTGATGACGGAAGTGGTAACGTTTCTTTTGTCCTTAGTGAGCTCTGATGTAAGGTGTATGTAAAGAGCTGATGACGGAAGTGGTAACGTTTCTTTTGTCTGAGCTCTGATGTGAGGTGTATGTAAAGAGCTGATGACGGAAGTGGTAACGTTTCTTTTGTCCTTAGTGAGCTCTGATGTGAGGTGTATGTAAAGAGCTGATGACGGAAGTGGTAACGTTTCTTTTGTCCTTAGTGAGCTCTGATGTGAGGTGTATGTAAAGAGCTGATGACGGAGGTGGTAACGTTTCTTTTGTCCTTAGTGAGCTCTGATGTAAGGTGTATGTAAAGAGCTGATGACGGAAGTGGTAACGTTTCTTTTGTCCTTAGTGAGCTCTGATGTGAGGTGTATGTAAAGAGCTGATGACGGAAGTGGTAACGTTTCTTTTGTCCTTAGTGAGCTCTGATGTGAGGTGTATGTAAAGAGCTGATGACGGAAGTGGTAACGTTTCTTTTGTCCTTAGTGAGCTCTGATGTAAGCTGATGACGGAAGTGGTAACGTTTCTTTTGTCCTTAGTGAGCTCTGATGTAAGATTTATGTAAAGAGCTGATGGCCGAAGTTGTAATGTTTTTACTGTCTCTAGTAGGCTCTGATGTAAGGTGTATACACGTAGTTTTATGCGCGTCTGCAGGATACATTACGGGGGGGGGGGGGACAAAATGACAAAATTATATCAAAAATACAACTAGGGAAACACAAAATTGGTAATCCAGGGAGGGCAACTGCCCCTTGCGGACACCCATGCGTAGTTTTTACGGAGAATATATCCCCCCACTCTTTCAAGGATGGAAAATGTCCCCTTCACATTGCAGGTGAAACTTTCTCAGTAATTTACTCGTATAACCACTAGTCAGTAAATTGTTCAGCACTTATGGACAACTGCATTGGTTTTATTAAGTTCCTTGACGTGGTGGGCCAAGCGTAGCCTAGAAGTAAAGTTGCCCGGACTGCGGATTCGGGGTTCGTGACCCGTTTCCGCAAAGACACACTCCGCACTTTAGTGCCTTGGTGCACGACAGCAGTGACTGTGAAATTCCACTATTCGATTATATCAGAGTAGCCCAAGAGTTGTCAATGAGTGTTCTTTACTAGCACGATTTATGTCAACGTTAGGCTGCATCATTAGAATGACATGATGGCTCAATGAAGCTCTCGAGTCTACGACAGCAGGACAATAATTCAAGTTCTAGCAACAAATGACTCTATTCCATGGGTGAAGGTATTGTTTGTTTGTTTGTTTTGAATTTCGTGCAAAGCTACATGAGAGCTATCTGCGCTAGCCGTCCCTAATTTAGCAGTGTAAGAGTAGAGGGAAGGCAGCTAGTCATCACC